CTTGTCTCACTGAGAGGGGCTCCCTCACAGGATATGCTGGATGGAAAGCTAGCTTAAAGAAAAAACTGGCAAGTTACCGCACTCAATTAAGAAAGTTAGGATGCCCTGAGGTGGTTATGAACTCTGTGACACAGAAACCAGGGGGCAAATCAAGTGCTGCTTTTGCCATTAAAAGACCACGGCGGTCTGAAGTAAACTATGTCTCCCCTATCCGGTTGGAGAATCTGAAGATAGCCTTGAGACTGTGAGAGGGGAGCTTCTTTTAGATGTGAAGAAGACAAACAACCGGGAGGTGGTGAGAATGAAAATGGAGAAAACATTTGCATATAGGAGACATGAAGTACTTTGTGACACACCCATGATCAGCGACTTCCAGGCAAGATGGCCAGCACTCTTTGAAGTGAGCGAGGTATGTAATTTGTGAATTCTTTTGTGAAGATCATTGTGTTTTAATGGTATCCTGTAATAGAACATTGACAACATTTACGTTGTTTGCCAGGTTTGTGGAAAATGTCAAAAGTCATTTTGAATTGTAAAGATTTTTTGTTATTGATTATAGCACCTGAAGCATACACTGTATATAAAAGATAGAAATGGTTTCTAGGTCTGCTGACTTTATCTTTGACCTCAGTAAATATGGTTTATGGTTCCTTAGTGTTTGTGGTCTAAGTTGCTAGTTTCACTGCCCGGCTTGGACAGTCTCGGTCGTTGTGTCCTTGGGCAAGACACTTCACCCGTTGCCTACTGGTGGTGGTCAAAGGGCCCGGTGGCGCCAGTGTCCGGCAGCCTCGCCTCTGTCAGTGCGCCCCAGGGTGGCTGTGGCTACAATGTAGCTTGCCATCACCAGTGTGTGAATGTGTGCGTGAATGGGTGGATGACTGGATATGTAAAGCGCTTTGGGGTCCTTAGTTAGGGACTAGTAAAGCGCTATATAAATACAGGCCATTTACCATTATGACATGGTGTTCATTGTACCCATTAATATGGAAAAGGACAGTGGACTAGTGTATGCTCATTGGCTAACGATTTTTGATTAACTAATGAGGGTACAATGTCTCTTGGTTCCATAGGCAGATCTACACTGTGCTAATGACGTGCTATTTAAAAGAAAGCTGGAAGGGCAACTGTGGAAACGCACAGCTTAAGACTTCAAATTAGAAATTAACAAGTGGTGACATCATTCTCTTTTTATATACTATCAGTTGTTATAAGCCACTTCTAACGCGAGCAGTTGTGTAACTTTTTTCCTCTGGAAGCCTGTCGAAATTAAGCTCTACTGATGGAGGGTTGTCAATCTGTGTGGCCTGTGACATTGTTCTTTTTGTAGGCTTTAGCTCAGGAGGTAGAGCAGGCCATCTACTGATCAGAAGCTTAGTGGTTTGATCCCTGGCTCCTCAAGTCTGCATGCCAAGTATCCTTCGGCTACAAGAGATACTAACTCCAATTGCTCTCTGATGCGTTCATCGGAGTATGAATGGTAGTTAGCAAGCACTAAAAAACTTAGAAAACAGTGTTTGTGTGAATTGATGTGATTGGATGAATGCGGCATGTTGTATACAGCGCTTTGAGTACTCCGGGAGAGTAGAAAAGCACTATATAAAAATCAGTCCATTTCACCACAAAAGTGAGTGGGATGCATAGCTAAAAATTAGTAATATGAGAAAAAATATAAGTTTTTGTAAATGTGACCTTGTCACATTTGAGTTCGTGACTGTATTTGTATGTGTCAACTTCTCTTTTTAGATAAATGCAGAGTTTAGGCAGATTACCACCATGCCACTGCAGTCCCAATTTCTCTCGCAAATAGATGTGCTATCGGACAAATTTATAAACGTGTTCAAAAAGCAAGGAGGACACATAGGAAGAAGACTGCAGAATATTCTGGAACCCATGGCCCAGGTAAGAAAGAATTTTAATTTGTGTCTACAGTTTAGAGAAAATAATAATTTTAACAAAGTGCTGCTTGTCACCCTTTGCCAGGATGATGTTGATCTTGTGCGTGAAAGTATTATCAAGGGGCTCTGTGTGTACCTCAACGAAGACCCCAGCAATTTAATGACAGATCATGTGGTAAGTGTTATTATAGAAGGTCATTTTTTATTGAAAATAAATGTGGTTGCTTCATGAACTAAACCCCCCCTCCCAAAACTTAAAAATCTAAAATCTCTTACCCCTTGGCTGAAAAAGGCTTTTATTGCCACAATGACGCGTGGACAACTGAACAACAAAGTCATGTCGGATTGTCTTTTTTTTATTCTAAAATGAATAGACATGTGAAAAGGATTAGACTATATTTAGCTATGAAACCTTGTGTTATATACATGCTGACATGCCACAATTTCACTTTTTAATGGACATATTTAATAAATATTGGGGCCACCTTATTTATTAGACAAAATACTGTATGGCCTGGAAGTGTTTATAAAAAAAATATTTATGAAATACTTGGATCCAGCTAACGTCTTTGTTTTGGATCATAGTTTAGCACAATTCAGATGTTAGTATCTCCACGGTTATTGCTTTTGACAAAATTAACATAATAACCAAAAACCAGACTAAATCGACAAGCTTGTTTTGTGTCATTCACTTTGTAAAAAATACTGCTTTTTTTCAGCGTCCTTTCTAAACCATGGCAAAATGTAGTTATCTACTAATAAATGGGGTTGAATGTCACCTTAACCAAGGAAGAGATACAGAGAATTGTCTATATGGGTTAGAGAAGATATTATGTTTAGGTGTTTTACCTTTTTTTTTTTTTTCCTTCTACATGCATTAGGACCACGTGTTCTCTGAACACCTCTTCAGAGAATGAAGAGGTGTTCATAGTTGAACACTCCTTCATTCTCTGACAGTATTCTGCTTCTTTGCAATGACCAGTGTTCTGTTGAATTTAATTCTGGGAATGTGTATTTTCCAGGACACAGATAAAGGAGTTATCCAACAATCTATTGAGGAAACAACCATGGGAATCTATATCATCAAGTCAAGAGATGCCAGTGACAGCCCTGAGGACATTGGGATAGTCCTGGAAGGCCAGAGAGTCTTGCAGGATTTGGACAACTGTGCCCTAGCAGCTGCTATGCTATTTGGATTAATGTACACTTTGAACCTGACCTACCCACCAAAACTGAAGTATACCTTCGAGGTATTCCAGAAACTGCTTATGGAGCTCGAAGGGAACAGCATTTCAAAGAAGGCACAGGTTCTCAAGAACAGACTGTACGAGTGAACAGTTATGACATGGAAACAATATGTCTACCTCTCTGAATATGTTCCATTGATTCTTTTTTGCCAACACTGGTAAAATTACAGTATATAGTGAAACTAATTTTTCTCACAATTTTATAGGTGTATTGCCACTGACATTGCATGTGTTACGTTCCCCTGAGGGGTCTAGGCAGGGAGGGGGAAGTAACAAAAGTGACCGGGTCAGAAAAAGGAGTCAAGGAGGCAAAAGGGTTAAATTAAAGAGTTTTATTAAAGTTTCAATTTATACTAACTAAAAGAGACGGACAAGCCGCTATTACCATTTAAGAAAACAAACAAAACTCAGGCGTTGGTCAATAAAGTAAAACGTAAGCCAAAAAGAAAGAGCAGCTCACTAGCTGAAAACCACCAAAAACACAGCTCACTAGCTGCAAACACCACAACAGCTCAGCTCAGCTCAGCTCAGCTCAGCTCAGCTCAGCTCAGCTCACAAGCTCTAACTACACTACTGGCACTCTGGCCCAGCGCTCACCTTTCCCTGGGCTTAAATACTTTTAATTACTGATGTGAGTCAGCTGTGTAACAGGGAAAGGTGGCACCTCAGGCAGAAGAGGTGGTGGGACACGCCCACACAGGCACCTTCAGGAGGAGGCCCTGCTAGGGCCGTAACACATGTAATTGCCAACTCAGTCCCATTCAATTGTAAAATGATCGTTGCATCATTGCCGTCACCAAAGTCATTTTGAAGCTGGTAACTGCTCTCAGGTCAAAAGCCTGAAGTAATTGAAGCAGCTGTTTAGAAGGCATACAATTTTTAAGTTTATTGGACATGGTTACAGTAATTTTGGTTATGTTGTGATGTCCAACCACTGTTTTGTTTTGCTTGTTAGTATAAGTTATTGTGATTTTTCACTTATAGAAGGAAGCCAAAACGAATCACATTTTAGGGCTCTTGGTTTTGTGTTTGTGGGTGAAAATGTTATTTTCAAGCTTTTCTTCGTCACATTTTAATATTTGCATTCCTGTTGCCGTAGTGCCTTACATTTAAAAAATTTTTTTTTTGAAAATTACCCGAGGAATTCTCACCTTTTACCTTTGGGCCAGTATTCCTAGAAAATTCAGCGTTAACATTTTCATAGGCCCTAGAATGTTGAATTAAGATCCAGAAGTTGTTTGTGTTTGGTACATTTTGGAAGAGATGCATTCAGATGACTCATGTATAATCTGAACTTCTGTTACAACTTCCAATTGTATACTGTTTTGAAAAATACAGGTCATTGTTAAAAAATGTTTTGATTGAAAGAAAAATATACAGTACATACAGTGTGTGTGTGTGTATATAGCATAAAATTATCTTGTCGATCCAATCTAACACATGGCAGTCAAATACAATTAACATAAAAGAACTCTTTACATTTTACATAACCAGTTAATGTCTGATAAACGAGTAGTTTATATAAATATTTGACATGAATGAAAAGGATACAAACAACATGAAAAAATCATGTTCATGTTACAAAAAAATTTGTGTGCAGTTATAACATGAAAAAATAAGGTTGACAAAACATAACTCAATTGCGTGCAACCGATTACAATAAGTTTTTTATAATTATCCCCCTGATTATTTTTTTCAGTGTAGATTCTGTAATCTGAAAGGACAGATTTCCACCTCCCAACAACACAAGTGAAATACCAAATTGATTATTTTTTTTAATCGAATGTTTGAATGAATTGTAAAAGTAGTGAAAATTATATTTTTGTTTTTCTTACAGTAAACCTTTTTTTTTTTATAGGTCCTGAAAGCTGAATCAGAGGAGTCTTTGCATAATCTTATTTTGCAAAACAGCACAATCTTCCAAACTGCTGGATGCCTCAGAAACGTCAAGCCTTGTGAGAAACAAGCATTTGTGGAGGAGTACCTCATTACTCCTTCTAAATTCAGGATGGCCAGTTGCTCATCACAGCAGCCACTGACATTTTCAGACCTTCAGATGTATATGAAAAAACTGATTCAGTAGCATCCGTGTGATCTGATGAACAACAAGTTAATTCCTGAGCCACTGTCGCACGCTGTTCGGTTCACAAAAGAACAAGTTGTGCTGCTTCCTACTTTTTTGACTAAATTTCTGTCTCCTCTGAAATCTTAAATATTTTTCACATAGATGAGCAAACAGCTGGTACTCACCAACTTTCTGACCCTGTACACCCATCAGAGTCATGATGGTCATCACTGAAGGGAGATAAAGATTTACTAAGATACATGTTGAATCCTACAGCTACTAATAAATTCATTGTCACAAAAATGCTTTTGTCTTAAAGTAAAAAGAAACAAAAACAAAGTCATATTTTTTTTACAGAATTATTAACTTAGCATTTATAGTAATGTGGAAAAAGAGAAAGTACTCACACAGTATGATACAGAGAGCTCTGATCTCCATGTCTCCTTGCCGCAGACTGAAGACTGACGTATAAAATCAGTTTTCAGAGTGCATCTACTAAAACAATTTTAATATTAATTTAATATTTTTATGACTTTAGGCAATGAAACAATATAGTTTTACAGTTTCCAAAGAAGCTCAGTTGCTTTTGTGTTAAGTCAACTCTCACTGTTTCAGTTCACTGTCAGTGGGCGGAACAAAAAACCCATTCAGACTAATGCTGTGTTTGATGCAGCTTGTAGACTGGTTCATGTTTCCTGTGCACAGTTGGGTGAACTGTGCTGAGATATGTCACAGAAGTAGTGAACATTTGAAACATCTTCCAGGGGTACTCAGCCCACTCAAGGAATTACCAAAGTCATTGAAGCTATTTTTCGTCACAGGATAGTTAATATCGCTATAGATAAATAATTGCAATTCCGTTATTCACACATAGTTCAGGTTTACATGAATGTAAGTCACACTTCCATTCAGGTATACTCAGAAAATGTTAGAGAGAGTGTGATGGTAAGCCACACATGGTAAGACTCACACCAGTAGTTCGTGTCACTACTCATCCAATATATTATTTCATTATTAAATTAGCTCATTTCTCCATCACACCTTGCAATGTTTATATGAAGTGCACACATATCAATGCTGCAAGGTTAAATTATATTTTATGTTGTATTAATACCAATTTTTTTTTGTTTGACATACCTGGTGGTTTGGCTTTTTCTTACTGGTAAAGGGCTGGGGCATCCGAAGTTCTCCTGAGAGTCTCAATGGACTGAACCACATGCTTCATTGCCTGGAAGGTGTTTAGAGTTTATTTCATTGTTTTGTGTTGGTTGGTTAAGTGGCAGCCATTTTGTCTTCTCTTCATGTGTTATATATTTTAGCTAAACCAGTAATAAAGTTCCCTGATATGTCAATGCAAGAGGTCAGTTTGGCTTATGTATGTTTGAGATTTTGTTTGTTATTATTTTGAGTTTAGTTTATTGAGTTGACCTCTTTTATTTGTCAGTCCAAGCTTTGGATTTGTTAATCATTTTTTCACATTTCTGGGTAAATACAAACTTTATTTTTGAACTAAACACCTGTGTGCTCTATACCGCTTTACTACTTGGTCCCCGACAGAGAGCATCTATGCATGTTGAATGAGCACCTCATCACAACAGCTAAACCATATCCTGTTATTCATTATCATTATGTCACCAAAACACGCTGAGCGTTTGACTTTTGCTTTCACACATTTTTGACCAAACAAATGGAAAAAGGCACTTAATTTTCTTTGGCTTTATTAAATAGCTTCTGCTGCAGCATGAAACAAAACATCACTTATTATGTCTGGGTATTAGACCACAATTCAGCCAAAGACATGTTCAGTCTCAAACAGGTTTACTTCATTGCTGACCACAAACTTGGTTCTTCTGTTTTGAGAAAGTAATATGACACCTTCCGAGTAGTGGTTGACCACACCAGGTGCATTTGAAAGCTGCAGGAGCTTTTTTCTTGTAAAAGCATTCATATATGTGTACAAGGACAAAGCAAATGAAACTGAAAGCAGATGATTAAATACACATGAACTACAATAAATTATACACAAGCACATCAAATCCAGCTGCACTGCTTTTAAATTGGAACAACTGTAATTAATTAGGTTACTACATTGTTATTACATTAACCAGTCTAATTTAAAGCTCGACACTTATCTAAGGTTATGAGCTTTGAGTAGTGACTGAAAACAATAGATCAAGGATGTAAAAGCTGTTGAAATGCTAGTGTTTCACCACCAGGCAGAGCTCTTGCAATGCTAATGCCATTAATGCATTTTATTTTATGTTTTTATTTTTATGTTAAACATGTTTAAAATGTTCCTATTTGTATACAGGATTAGTATACTGTTAATTTGACACATGCAAAATAATTGATTTAAGTAAGTTTAAGGTAAGGGCAGAAGTCACTTCTATTTAGAAAAAAGGTTACAGAGATCATACAAATCCACTATTCTTAAAATCAAAAATTCTAAAATTCACAGATCTGGTTCATTTTCTCACAGCACAAATTATATATAAAGCAATAAATAACCTGCTTCCTGACAATATTCTAAAAATGTTTTCTAAAAGGGAACGGGGATACAATTTGAGGGGGGAATTAAATTTAAAACATCCTCGTATCCGTACAACATTAAAAAGTTTTTGCATCTCTGTGTGTGGAGTGAAGCTGTGGAACAGACTAAGTAAAGATATGAAGCAATGTCCAAGCATGGCGCAGTTTAAAAAGCGGTTTAAGGATATGGTTTTTACAGGGTACAGGAAAAGGTAGAGATTTGATAGGGTGTTCTTGTCTAATATTTTCATGTGTGTGCGCATGCACGGGTATGTTGGTATGGGTATATATATATATATATATATATATATATATATATATATATATATATAATATATATGTAGGTTTTGTATCCTTGAGGTGTTAATGGGGTTATTGAAAATGTGTATATGTGCGTATGTGTGTATATATGTATGTATGGATAGATAGAAACATATATGTGTATATATTAAAAAAAAAAATTACACATAACATATAATGCAATTGCAAGGAGGTATTTCTGTAGTCTATTGATACTAGATAGTGGAAAGGGGTGGGATTAAATAAGCTTATGCTTCTTCCTGCTCCTTTTTGAACATGGACGTTATTTGGAGTTGTGGTTGCTCGTTTTCCTTTTGTTTGCTTGTTCATTTGTCTCTTTTAATTCTATTTTTTAATACTTTTTCAACATGTTCAAATAAAGATTCAATCAATCAATCAAGGTCAGAGAAGCTGCTCATGGTGGCTGTCTAGCCGTGTGATTATCAAGCTAAGGAAGAAATAATAAGTTTCCAAACACACCAGTTTGTCCACTGGTGTGTTTGTTTATATTTTCGGAATTTTATATTGTCATATGTTTTAATGTTGAAATATAATGCATTGGACATTTGTGTTCACCAGTTGTACGGTGTACCTATGTATGTTAAGAGGATCACAGTAAGTTATTGGCTCATAATCAAGGAACTGTAATCTGTTTTGAAAAACACAAAACTGCATCTGAGTCAAAATAAAGATTCACTTTATTTTTTGTATTTTTTTTAATAACTGAAATGGGAGAGCAAACTAAATGAAATCACAGGGTAAAATAATAAATCTCAAATTGCATGAAATGATGTTCAAGCAGTTTAACTAGCCAGTACTTACCAACTCTGATCGTGTGCACAACAGGATCATCACACTCATCACTGAAAAGACAAAAAGTGCTAAACTTTAAAGCTACTGATAATGTATTTGTTATTTGGCATTGTGCATTTGTTATGATTCCTCGACATAAAACTTTTAAAACAACACAGTAATTTAAAAACTTTACTAACTTAAACAGATTCCTTATATTTAGTTTTAATCTGGGAAAGAAGAAAGTACTCCGTGAGTTTGATGCAGAGGGCTCTGACCTCCATGACGTCTGGAGTATTTTACAGGGAAGGCAGAGTAACTAGATTCCCAGAACTCAACTCTCAGGTAAGCTAATCAAAAGTTTCTTTATCAGGTCTAAATCTAAATCACTGTCTAATTACTTTCACAGATAAATCTCTAGTCTCTCAGAAGGCTCAGAACTCTAAAACTCTCTCAGCTCTCCAGTAGAATGGCAGATGCATATTAAGCAGGCTGATTCCTGAAGTATCTGGCTCAGGTGGACGTCACACTTTGCCTCTCCTAAGTGTGAAATGGATACGAAGTTACAGTACCAGCAGGAGGAGATAATATGTTTAAAACCAACAAGTCGTTACTTACTAAGGATGGTAAGAATTACATTTCAGCCATTCAATGCCAGAATATTATTAACCTAGATGTAAATGTGTTAGTAGTGTCTCTTTAAATGTTTGTTTTCATGTTGGCTTGACATAAAATATTGTCCGTTGCTGGTACTGAAGCTTCCTTACAAAGTGTGACAACCACACAGTGGAACAGCATATCTATTACATGATTTACCGTGATATTAACTTGCTCAGGCAGCAGATCTGGGATGTGGAAACACATGACAGTGGTGGTGTTGGCAGCATCTGATCAATCACAAAGGCAGTTTTCTTCCACACAAGAAGCATCAGAGACATAATCGGATGGTGAGGTGGAAATTGCTTAAGTTTGTTGCAGATCAAAGCAACATTAATTTTGTAGATAGAACAGGTACACTTGCTGTGTGTTCTATGTTCTAGTAGCTAAAATAGCACTAAAGTAAAAGAGACCACGCAACAGATTAGAATCAAGTATACTATAGGCTAGTATTATATTTTCTAAATCACAAAATTAATACACAAACAAAAATGCAGTTTTAAGTTCCTGAAGTGATTTACACCAGTAAAAACTGAACCATCTTTGTAACACAGAAACGC